ATTATTTTAATATATATAAAAAGACTAGAGATAAAATAGCGCCATCAAAATAGCTCTTTAATGTACCATTTCACAAACATAAAAATAAAATGTGAAGTGCTTTTATTCATAGCTTCCGCAGTGCATTCGTCTACGAATCACAGCCAACTGGCAAGTTAGATGCAGATTCAAAAGTTACTTGAAAAAAATATATGTTTACTATTTAAATTTACTATGCGATATTCCAATCGTCGGATGAATAATTTTAAAATGATTAATTATGAATATATTGATTATTAAATTATTTCTGGAGACCTGCACCTTTAAAAAATATATTATAATGTAGTTCCTTGCTTTAAAGAAAGATTTTTTACATGCTAATAAAATTCACTAAAAAAATATTTATGAATATTTCAACTGCATATATCTGTTGAATCGATTTTGTGATATAATTTTCGCTTACGATATATCTATGAGTTTCATAAAGTTGTATATAAAATTAGATTGTTTTATAGACTATTATTATTTCTCAATCCATACTTTATTACTAAGATTGAGATTATAAATAAGGAAGAGCAATAAAATACTTTCTGCAGTTGAATAATTAAATTCCTAAAAATCTTGTAAATTTGAGTTAAAAGAAAAAGATTAAATATTTCATGAGAATAAAATCTATCTAAGTATTGAATTTATTTTGTAACAGAATTGTCATTACCGTCTTGTTGTTTCAAATAAGCAGTGTACATTTTTCGAGCTTGATTCAAAACGCGATTAATATTATGCTTACGAACCATTTTATCAAAATGCATAGCCATTTCATTATAATCCATATTATTTCTCATAACATAATCTCTATGTTGTAACAAAACTGTAAGACATAGGAACATTAAAAATGGATTACCCCCTCCAAATTCATTAGGTGGTGGCAACATCAAAGGTTTTACATTGTCTATTAAAACATTTGGCTCGTTTAAATTGTTTTCATGTATTATTTCATTTTCAGCAGATTTTGAGATATGTTGCGAATTGTCTATATTATTCAGCTGCACAGTTTTCTCAATCTTTTTCGAAAATTCGTTATTTTCAATAAACTTATTATCAATGTCTTCATCGTTCTGTTTATCCTCAGACATCGCTTTATAGTCGATTTTCGAATCGCACAATTTCCAGTCGTTATCACTCTCTGAGGAATCAGAGGTACGGTTAGAATTGTGCGTACGTCTTAAAAGTCTTATTGGAGTTATAGATTTTTTCCCCTGAGATTCTTCAAAGATTTCCCCTGATTCCCCATCATATTCTAAGTCGGCTTGCTCATCTGGTGTTGTTGGAAATTTAGATTTGCACATCTCTTGCTGTTTGTGCAGAGGATTTTCCCATAAAAAGATATCATTAGGTGAATTTTCTTTAGAAAAACCATTTTTATGGCCATTAACATGAACTTGAGGTACACTGCAAATCTCAGCTAATTCTGTTGGCTCGCTAATTTCAGTAATCGAACTATGATTGGACAAATCGCATTGAAAATTTTTATTTTGTTCCGTAATAATTGATGTAGTTTCAGTTGGAGAATCAGTATTGTCAAATTGAAAAGACTTGTTATGAAAGTCCCTACCAAAAACTTGCCTATCAAGGTTCTCCAATTCCAACCTTAACTCGCGTGTCATCGACGTCGTCATTGGAAAATATTCTTGTGAATCATCAGGGCTACTGCTACCTTCCACACTCAAATCTTTGTGCAACTGTTTCTGGATTTTACATTTATTGTCAGTTATAGGTTGTTCAGAAATAGTTGTCGCATCTTGATCTGTCTTTTTAGATATGAATTTTTCTGATAAACGGCTTTTGTTAAAGTTTAAAAACTCATTTAAGTTTTTAACAACTTTTCCTCCTCCATTGTGATTTAAATGCTTATTTCCATATTCTATTTTTTTATCATTGCGTACTTCTATTTTATCAAGAGATATACTAAAAATGTTTTTTCGAGAATTTCCTGCCGAGGCGATCTTTTCTTTAAGTTCTTTAAAATGCCCTCCGGGTTTTCTAATACAATTACTTTTTTTGGCCAAATCAATCATACTATTGCTTATTACTTCTATAGGACGTTCACCAATTTCATTTAATTCATCATCAGTTTTTCTAGGCGATACTGACCTCGGTCGTTCCACAGGAGAAGTTGATTTAATGCTATTTTTATCTTCAGATTTTTCTTCATCACGATCTACATTTGCTTTCTTCATTTGTAAAACAGTATCATCCAAACTAATAGTTTTGATGTCTTGAAGTGCATTTTTGAATTTACATCTACCTCTAGTTTCATCCAGGCTCAGATTTAATCTTTTTGAAGTTTGAAATTTAATGTTATTTACATTCTGTCCCAGATTCATGGCAGAACTTTGTCTGCGAAGCGCACAAACTTTAGTGTAAGCGTTTTCACAGGGCACTATTGGTGTATCAGGAACAGTAAATATAGGTTTGAATTCGAACTCGAATAATTCAAGTTCCTGTTCAGGCACTGTTACTAAGGGAATAGAACTCCAAAGAACTTCTAACATGCGTAAGGAATCTTCAAAGCAAAATTCTCTTTTCATTTCCAACAACAACCAGCGATAGCAGAACAACAAGTCATCAGCCTATAAAGCAAAATTTTGGAACTGAGCTATCCATTTCTAATAATTTTCATTTTTTAAAGAAATATGTTTCACAAGATGAATAAAGTAATTAGGTGTAAGCGGCATTTGGTCTTAATCAAAGTTGCATAAACTTCCTGGTGAGCGTAAACAATTAACCTAATAATAATTGAGATTTACTACATATTGAAATAGTGATGATAGAATTTTGAAACTTTGATACAACCCACTATTCCAAATGTTAATAAATTTTGACAATTAAACTACTTTTTGCTCTTATGTGGTGAAATGAGAAAGACAAATATAGGTTGATCTTAACCTTACCTGCTGTTGCTTAAGATAGGCATAAAACTCAGGATCATAATATAATATAGCTTCGCTGAGATGTGCAAATTTTTGCGTCATGGCAATCCCGTCAAGCATGAAATTTCCACTTAGTCTCTTCATAAGAGCACAGAAACAAATATAAGCATGAGACTCATCATTCATTGTCACCAATAAGGGAGATGCCAAATCTGACATTCCTTGGCAATAGCTAACTTTGTGATTTAAAGCATATGTTGTCAGGATATTAAAAAGAGCAGCAATATTTTTGTTATCATCACTTCCTCCATAAAATGGATGGTGTCTGTCAGTTCTCAAAACATCTTTTCGAACCATACTGGTTACATAAGAAAGTTGTGGTGTTATTGGCCCATTCTGAATAACATCCCGCCATGCATCACGCAGTTTAATATATTCTATAGATTTTCGTTTTATATAAGATATTCGCTCACGACCTGACATACCTATAAATGATTAATAACATTGCATTTACTATCTAACATAAAATACTTACTGGCAATTTTGAATTATTTTTCATATTAGAAAATTATTCTTGAAAAAAAAAACAAATAGATGTTTTAACTGATTTTTTTAGAAATGTGAAGGTCAATTAACACCAGAATTTAATAGAACAAAGTTGTATGATCCATGTAAAGAATCATTTGTCACTTCGTTATTATAGAAATATATATAATTATACAACTTACCTTCAGGATACACATTTAGCACATGTTTCCATACTACACGTCTTAAATTTGGTTCAATTCCTCCAGAGTAAACTCTTCTCCTTAAACGCTGTGGTGTGGACAATCGACCAACAGCATCGAGTAAACCACGAAATTCAGAATCCCCTTTGAAATAAAAGTTACTTTAATTTTTACATTCATTCTAATGATATTAGAATATATAATGAACATTGTTATTTCACCTAAAGGAGGTGTATCATTTGAGTGCCAATTCCAACTATCAACTGTTTCTACTAGATTCAAAGCCTTCTGGACCATTGATAGTGTCTTCTCCATCTGCGAAGATATAATATTATTCCGCATATGAAAATAAGGTTTTAAAAAAATTAAAACGAAAGACTTACTTGATTTTTAAATATTCCAGGAAATTTATGCTGCCTAAGCCCAGTAATAAATTCTTTTTTCTCAGTGACATTTATGTTAGAACCAACAACATTAGTTATTTGAGAAGTATTTACAGCAGTACTTGATGTAAACACTGATTCTGTTCTTTCAACTGCTGCATGAGCAGCTTCCAATTCAACTGAATCCCATTCTGGGTCTTCACATGATTCAGAAAAAGGTTTTATATCCACACGCAAATATAAACAAGGCTCTACTTTATTTGTAATGGAAGTATTGTGAGCTCTAAAAAAAATATGAGTTTCAATATCCATTGACTATTTCAGGAATTAGATTTGTAATTCATAAATAATCATTTTCATATAAATAAAGTCTACCTCAAGAATGCTGCATCCAAATCCCAATCTGATAAAACTACCACATAAGCATCCTGTCCATTAGAATCGGTCGTCTTGTAGCTTACATTAAAGTCACCCCTTAAATCAAATGCTTTAGCTAAGATACTAACTAGGACTTCTAAAGATGTTATTTGAGGGTCTACACTAAATTTTCTCCACTCTGGTGTTAATTGACCTTCACATTTCTAAAAGAAATCAGTAACATATTGAGTTGAATGTTTAATTAATTGTGCAAGTGAAAGTTTTTTTTTTCAATTTACTTTAACTTTCACACGAACAGCTTCTCTACTGAAACCACAATTGTTGGCCATTTTTAACTAAAATTGTTCTCTATTTACATTTTATTAAACTAATTTAATTTTACAATCAACATTTTATTTTATTATTTTACAGTGGCAATCTGTTTATAAATTTTGACAGCGCTGTCATGCTGCCATGTTCTATCAGCGTTGTCATCTCTCAAATATTGTTCAAATCCGTTAAAATGCAGATGCTACCAACTTAGACATAATTTAATTTTCATTTCAAAGCTGTCAAACATATGTCAAACCAATGTATTTAGCAAAATTTCTGCGCACGTGCTATTTGTTATTTCTTGACTTGATCATCTGTTCGATAAGTTAATTCTGTAATAATGAAAATTACTAGATATAAGAAAGTACATCGAAATTTGAACTTTTATATTAACAATTTTGGTTTTCATCAGCCATTTCAAATACTTATTGACGGAACTTTCTGTTTCGATGCGTTAAAGGTAGGTACAAAATAGCATTAATTGAATTCGTGTTCTTATTAATGTTAATTTTTAGAATCAATTCAATATTCAAGATCAGTTAAAGAAATATTTTCAAGCTGAGCTTAAACTTTTAACTACGCAATGTGTAATTGTGGAGACAGAAAATTTAGGACCCAAATTGGTTGGTGCCATGAAAATTGTAAAGCAATTTGGTATTCACAAATGCGGACATGAAAAGGCTCCAATTGGTGCTAGTGATTGCTTACTATCGATGGTAGGCAAAAGTAATAGAGACAGGTATGTAATAGATTATATTGCTATTTTAATTTTAGCAGTTCCATTATTCACATTTCAAAATAATTTAAGATATGTCATAGCTACCCAAGATCGTGATCTACAAGAAAAAATTCGGGAAAAACCTGGTGTGCCTCTATTGTATCTGCATCGTAAAGCACCATGTTTAGAGCGACCTTCACAAACTAGCCGTGATAAAGCTACTGAGAATGCTACTGGAAGCTTCAAAGTCCAAACAAGGGAAGAGCTTGTAATTAAGAAATTAAAAGAAGATGTTGGTTTATCAGAAAACAACAATGAACAGAAAAGGAAGAGAAGGAAAAAGAAAGGACCTAATCCTTTATCATGTAAAAAGAAACAAAAGAAAAATGAAAATGCACAGGGGATAAAAAAGCGATCAAGGAATAGAATAAGATTGCCTAAGCAAATGAAGGCTCTATTACAAGCACATATTAACTCAACTGTTGATTAAATTACAATCTAGAATAAAATTTAATATAGATTAAATTATGTTTTTCTTCAAATAACAAACACAAGATTGACTTTCAATCAAAAAATAAATTTTAAGTCTTTTCAAAAATTAAATAAAAGTTTTTTTAAATTTTAGGAATATTATCTACAATAAATATTTTCATTTAGTTGCATAAATAAATTACATTGAATAATTAATTAAAGCATTGATAAAGGCTAACATCCTAGACTAGGATTAGAATGGTTAACATGATAGACAAATCAAGTGTCAGTGTGTGATTAGCCCTAGACAATATAGTAATCAGAATGACACTTAATATATTTCTAGTTATATCTTTAATTTGTTTATCTCTTTATTTGTTTGGTCTTAAAAATTTTTTACTAAGTCATGAAGAAAATGCTTGCAAAATGACATATATGTATGAATTTCCACAATTTATTGTATGCATAAATCTTGATATATGTAAAATTTTGAGGTTATTTTCTTATGTGTTTATGTATTTTCAGAAAATAAACGTATCTAATGCTCAAAAATATGAAAAATATAATTTATATGCGTATTCTGAGGGCAGACTTACAGGAAAAGCACGAAATATGCATTTTGATGGAATACCAGTTTTATTTATACCAGGAAATGCAGGATCCTACAAGCAAGTTCGCTCGCTTGCTTCTGTAAGCTTGAGAAAGTATTTAAACTCCAAATCCAGATTTCATTTTGATTATTTTTGTGGTTAGTTCAATTAAATGTTATATGTATATATAAAATATGTTAAATAATTATGCATTTAATGTTATTAATTTGATAATTATATTTATTACTTTACTATCAAGAAAATTATTTTATATTATTAATTTTATTTTATATTTCTCGATATATGATGATGATGATGTTTATTCATTACTATTGTTTACAGTTGATTTAAATGAGGAATATTCTGGATTATTTGGTGGAGTTTTAGAGGCACAATCACTATTTGTAAATCATTCTATTCACACAATTTTAAATCTATATGACAAAAATACTGCGCATCCTAAAAGTATTGTTTTAATAGGACATTCAATAGTAAGTTTATTTTCTTGAAATATATTGTATATATACATTTGTATAAGTTATATATATTTCATTTTAAGGGAGGATTGATTGCTCAACACGTGGTCACAATAGATGAAAATTCCCAAAGGGTTAATACAATTATTACATTGGCAACTCCGAATAAGAAACCTGTTGCAGCATTAGATCAATTAATTCCTACATTCTATACTGAAACATTCAAATATTGGACTGAAAATTTTCAAATCATGAACATGACTAATAAATCGAATAAAGCAGGATTCAAAGACATCAATAAGGAAAATTCAAAATTTTCTGATATTTTATTTATTTCAATTGGTGGTGGCAGTAGAGATATTTTAGTTCCTTCTGGTTTGACTTCGTCTAAATTTGGACATATTAATACATTGGTGAGTATTCCTTATCCTTCATATTATTTAATTTATTATTATATATTATTTTATTAAAATTTCAGACAACTGCCATACCCATGGTTTGGGCATCAACTGATCATCAATGCATTGTATGGTGTTTACAACTAGTATTGGTTTTGAATAGGTATTCTACTATTTTATATACTAATACTATGAATACATTATGTTATTATTGCTATTAATGTTACTATATTATACAATAATATTATCACATTTAGAGATTAATATTAATTTTTTTTTTAATTTTAAAGGGTACTTTTCCAATCAGTAGATAGTAAATCTAAACAAATTTCTACAAATCTGGAAGAAAGATACAACACGGCTTTGAGATTGTTAACGGTAAGAACATAATCTAATTAAATAATTATAAAATATAGATATCTATTTGAATCTCTTTAATAATAATCGGCAACAATTTGCATATCTTAGCAAATTCATATTAATTATGAATAACTATTTGATAAATATTTTGTAGAATATGTTTCCTGTTTTTTTATCTAATTGATTTTTATTAGTCATATTATGTAAATGTATATTATATTTATTAATTTTTGCATTACTTTATTGTTTTAGATAAATACTGCACTCCCACATTCAAAAATTGTGCATTTTAGAAAAAATAGCGAATGGTATGAAGATAACAGAAGATTATTTTCCGTGCGATTTTTGAATGGATTAAATCGAACAAGATATCAAATGATAAGATTGACTGATGACCAATTACATGAAATGATAGCTGTTGAATCTATAAATCTTGATGATGAAGACTGGATTTTTGGTTGTGCAGCTGATCAAATTGATATTAAATTACAATCTAGAATTTGGTACATAGATAAATTTATATATATATATATATATATATATATACATATACATATATATACATATAATAAATTGTAGATATTATGTCTGCATTCATTTTTTAGTGATCACGGTCTTTCCCTATCGAATTACACCAGACCGCATCCATCAATTAACAAGGAGCGACGAATTGCTTATCTTGATTTGCATAAGATAAAACGTCAAAATCCTCATTGGACACATGTCTTATTTCAAATATCACCAACACGAGAATCAGTATGTACAATTAGGATTTTTAGTTATAGTATTAACACTACCTCTTCAATTTACTTATCTTTAATCAATTTGATAATTTTTTTCATTAACATCATTGATACTGCATTAAAGTGAATTTTATTTAATAATGATATTTATCTGTAATATTTTGATTACTCACCTTTAGGTGCAATTGCATTTTGACATCTACAACAGAAACCAGCGCATAATGAAGACCAATGCACCAAAAATCTATTCCTTCTCTAAAGTGGAGGTTGTGAAAGAAACTTTATTGAATGCCATACATTATGATCTTATAATACAAGGTTTCGATAGTTTATACCAAGCTTTGCATCTTTCTATAGATCCTAAACAATGCTCTGAAAAATCTTATCACACTGTTGCTACTTCTTATGTACCTTGGGCATCTGGTCATTCCAATGTTCACTATTTCACGTAAGAACTTCTATTTTTACCAAAGTATTTAAAATTAAAAATTGAGAGCTTGGATTTTTTTATAGTGAAGCACAAAGACTTCCTATGTCTTTGAAATTGCATCAAAGTCAGCAGGATGGTAAGTCATCTAAAAATGTGAGGGTAAGGTTTGTTCTGGACCCTAACTGTAAATATTTCATCAGGTAAATTTAATAATTTCATAAACTCTTCATTTTTTTATGATGATTTGATTTTATCTTTTAATTTTCTAGTTTAGAGAGTTCTTTTGTTGATACTCTTGGTCAAATATCACGCCATTATTCGCTGGGTTTGCTACCATATTGTGCGTCTGTCTTAATTCTTGCCTTACGTCAACAAATTCTTCAAATACAAGATGAAGGAAAGTGTTCAAATTTATTGTCTGCTATGACATCTGGGGCAAAACCTTATTACGTTGTCACATTAGCAAGACTTGCCCAAAAGTTGCTTAGGTATCTTCTATATATGCTTGTTTATTGAAAGTTATTGATAATGAAATATCACTGATTGCTTTAGCATTTTATTTTTTTTACATCTTGTATCTATATAATAATTTTAGTTTTGAATCTTCAACACCAATGCTGTTACCCCTGCTGTCCTTTGCAGTTGCTTGGGGAATTATTTGTATAATTGGTCTGATTGTTTATGCAGGAATTGCTGTTGCTGGTAAATTAGCCCACACAGTAATGCTTAGGTATATCTTTTAAAATTCTAATTATTATTTTCTACATTTGATTTAATTATTTAATTTTTATGCTGGAAATATAATTATATTGTGTTAATATATTTATTATGATTAACTATTATTATTATATGATTTTAACGAAAGAAGATTTTTAGAAAAAAATTAATTATATATTTCCAGAATAATATCATTTGGAGCATCTGGTTTTGCTGCAAAAGCATTCGAAAGACTACCACTAGCAGTTGGGGTCTTAGCTGTAGCCATGGGATCAGCCACCTGCGGTTGTGTTTCTTTAATGATTGCAGTTGTATTTTATTCTATATTGGTAATTCTTGTAATTTGTTATACATTGTTTATCAATATTTTTACAAAATTCAAATGTAATTGTAGCTAAGTAAAATGTATGAAGACTATGTTGACACTATTGTATTTAAAACAATTCGAAAAGTTGCAAGAAAATTAATTGGTGGATCTCATAATAAAACAACTGATGATATAAAAAAAAATACTCAAAATGTTAGTGATCATGAAATGACAACAAATGATAACGTACATGATAAGCCATTGAACGATAAAAATGAAAAACGTGATTCTGAAAAACGAGTTTTGCAAACAGAAAATAAGGGCATTGACATTACTGAAGGCCAAACTAAGGATACATTAGATACATCATTTGATAAAGGAACATCTAGTAAAGATGTGCATTGCTTTGATGATAGCAATAGCAACGAAAAAACGGGTAGTCATGAAAAAGCTCAAAATTCTGTATTGGAGTCACATAATGAAGCATCTGATTCAAAAAATAAACCACAAAAAAATTCTTTGTTTAAGAAATATATAATTGACAAATTATTAAACAAAGCCGTAGATGTTATTCTACCTGAGAGTGATATCACTTTAAGTGAAATACATTTTCATTTAACTATTTTTTTGATATTATCTTTTGTAACATTGCTTAATTTTCCAACTCTGCTGACATGGTTACATAATTTTAAGTAAGTCTTGAAAAAAGTGAATAAATTACTTTAAAGATATATGAATAATTAAAAAATTATGTCATTTACAGGTATAATCCCTATTTGGAAATAGATCCAGCTTTTTGGATTTCAATAAGTTTAACTATTTGTATATCTATTATTTGGCAAATCAATGCACCAAAGACTGATTTGTGAGTATAGTACAACATAAATTTCTTTTATATTATGTAGTTTGTTATATAAAATTCAACATTTTTTTACAGATTATTTTCAAGGGAAATAGGATATTTACTGTACGCTTTCTCTGTTGCTTGCTTGATATTTTCTAATACTGCTCTCTACACTTTGAATTATTTATTAATAAGTGCATTGATTCTAGTTACAATGCACCAATGCATGCCATATTTTGGTTTTAAGAAGAATCAATCACCGACTTTAGATAATTCTGCTACATCACAAGCAAATAATGACAAATTATCAGAAGATGTTGAAGATAAAATACTCATTAATAAAGTGAAAGTTATTAAGACTAAATTACAAGAAGATTAATCTAATTTCACAATAGAAAGACAATTTGTATATTTTTTTTATTAAGCTATATTTTATTGTTATCTAGTCATTACAATACATAAATTAAATAGTATATTTTTTTTAAGTATATATATATATATATATATATATATGTATGTGTGTGTATATATATTTTTATATATATATATAAATTATTTATTGACGTTTCAAGATTCATCATCATCTCTTGTTGCAGCTGCTGTGTAAACTGGTATCATATTTATGTCTTCACTTTTACTTTCTGATAAAATCATTTTGTACATTGCAACATATAATAATCCCCCCAGAATAATCATTCCTATTCCACACATTAGAACAATCGACCAGGCAGGAACGGCCAACCCTTCTATAATTTTAGATTCGTTAAATATATATTTTATATAACTTAAACTATAAGAAGAGTGAAAGTAAATTCCATAATATTTTGGTATAATGGTATATACACCAAGTGCAGATATAATGATACATGCATATTTGCATTATGTGTATCATAATGATATATCCTAGATAATTTTCGGAGTGTAAATTTTCATTTTCAAATTGTAATAACATTTTTAATTTGATCTAGATACTAATTATACTTACTGTTATAAGTTCTTGTTATAACTTGTCGGCCTCTGAGAATCTTACGTCTTGCTTCTGCTTCTGCACAAAGGCTCAGCATAACTGAGAATGAGAAATTTAGTAAATTTATTTTGTTATTAACAGCAACAGTTATTTACTTACCTAACCCAATAGTTAAACAAAAGAGAATATTTTTTGTCTTCATTTTTGCTTTGTTATTTTACTTTTATGTATTCAAAAATATTATTATGGTATAAAAATATTTACAGGTGTGTCGTAGTAATTTCAGAAACTAGTGACTCAGTGTGATGGAATCATTGATAACAAGTACCTAATAATTCAACGTAATTAAAATTTATTTGCTCTTCTTATCTGTTCCATTGATAAGATAAAATTTGAAATAGCCGCTAAAATAGTTTTATATTGTGGCTAACCTGGGCGGAATGAAATGAGGTATACCACAATAACAACGAAGGTTATTATAACCTAATAAAATATCTTCAAGATAAACCTTCGTTATAATACCACGTGCATGTGAAGTATTATTACAAATGTAAAAAAGTATTACTAGCTATCAGATTTTATTTGAAGTAACAGTGAAATTTTTAATTAAATTGTTAACAATTTACATTAACAAAATGACAAAATCAAAATTGTTATCAAAAGTTAAACCAACTAAAAAGACGAAAGAAAACACCTTTGCGAAAAAAACTATCAAAAACAAACCAAAGACGGTGGGATCTATTTTATTGACAAAAACTAACAATGCTGTAGTTAAGAAAATTAAAAAGGATGGAAATAGTAAACCACCGAGAGTTGAGAAAATTTTGAAAGCTAAAGCAAGAGACTCAAGTCCAACCGAAACTACAGACTCAATACCAACCGAAATTGGAGATTTAACACCAAATGAATTGTGTTCTAACAAAGTCAAAAAAGCTGTAGAAGCTACATTTGAATTAATTACTAAATCTGAAAATACAACATTACTAGACGATGAGGTACCTATGTTATTGCAAATCAGTTGTATCAAAATTCCTAAATGTCCTCTGAGAACAGTAAGGTACACTCTTCCACATTCCTTAGTAAATGATAATACTGAAATATGCCTAATTGTTCTTGATTTGAAACGAGGACGTAAAATAGATCCAGAACCTACTGAGATTCATTATCAAGACTTGCTAGCTGAAGCTGGAATAAAAAATGTGAAGGTTTTGCCTTTTACACAGCTAAAATTGGAATATAGTCAATTTGAAGCTAAGAAACGATTACTGAATCTTTATGATGTGTTCCTAGTTGATGCTAAAATCAGTGGGCACGTTTTTCATATATTAGGAAAGACTTTTGTTAAAGCCAGAAAACTGCCAACTTCAGTAAGAATGAATCAGAAAGATTTGAAACATGAATTTACAAAGGCTTTAAATAAAACATCTATCATGCTTACTCCACGAGGAAATACTACTATTACAAAGGTAATATATTTATGCAAGATTTTATTACTTTTATTACAATATTTTCTAAAACTTCTTATTCAAGATATACCTAATATTAAGATTTTTTTTATGAATTGCATTGAGAATAAATCTTATGTTTATTAACTTTAAATTATCAATTTCGAGTTTGATTTCTTACTGTGCATATGTGATCATTAAGTTTCTATAATATAATTTACTATACCTATTTTGTATTTATACTCAAATAGTACTGTTTTCTAGGTCGGTCATAGTAAAATGACATCACAAGAAGTTACAGATAATATTATTGCTGCATCAAATTGGTTGAAGTCTAACTACCCAGGTGGTTGGGAAAACATTGAATCAATTTATGTAAAATCACCAACAACATTGTCTATACCCATTCATATTTCTTTAAAAAGTCCTAATGAAGTTAAAGTTCCTGTTATTGTTCATCATAAAAGAAATATCTACAAAGATGTTAAGGGTGAACTTTCAACTATACCAGGAGCCACAGTTAGTTTTGATGCTGATGGAACAATGAAAGTTCTTAAAGAAGAAGTTGACGGAATCAGTGATGTGGAGTTTGAAGAGTAAGTAATGAAGACTTATTAAATATTTATCTTTTTATGTTTTTATTTCTTTATTTTATCATTTTGTGTTTTAGTTTCGATTTAGAAGAGCCAAAAGATAACAAGAAACAAGCACAGAAAGCTGACATAAGTAAGGCAAAACCAACTGAAATGAAAGAAAGTAAGTACATAATTGAATATATATATATTCCCGAAATTAAACTCAAATTAAACATATATATCAACATCAAATTCAAGACTATTCAAATATATATATATATATATATATATATATATATATATATATATATATATATAGTTTTTTATTCATTGGATTCATTGTTCTGAAAAGAAATCAGTATCAGTATTCATTAGAAAATCCAGGAAATATCAATTATATATATATATATATATATATATATATATATATTTATATTTATATTATCATACATCTTATCACTTTCATCTTCGGCAGAAATGTGTGATTGTATATATATATATATATATATGTATGCATCTCTAAACTAGCCATTTAGCCATTTAGAGTAACAAAGTAATTAACTCATGTAATATAGGAGTTTACAACTATAATTGTTTTTTCATTCTGCAGATGATGAAAATGATGAAGAAAACCGGAAAATAAAGATGTCTAAAAAATTATCTGCCCCAAAAATAACTAAAAAGGTTGCAAAAAAACAAGAAAAACCTTTCAGTATGAGGCTGCAAAAAAATTCTCCGAAAGCTAAAAAGAATACTAATTTGAAAGGAAAGGTTGCAAAGAAAAATAAACAAAAGAAAATAGTAAAATCTTGATTTAAAAGATCATTATATATATTAAAAAATAATGGTTAATGCTTGTCAATAAAAGGACTAGAGGCTTGTGGTTTTAAAATATGTATTGTGGTCTTCATGTTTTTGATAAATTTTTCCATATGTGTAATGGTTTGAACTTCTGTTAAGCAGTTTTGCTATTATCTCCTTATCCCGGAGAAAATTTTTTCATGATCATTTTCATGATTTTTTCATGTTGATAGATATGCTAATTTCTTTTATTAAGTAACCTCAATCCTTAATTGTCAGTGATTCTACATAGTATGAGAGAAAATAAGTTTGTATATTTTTCTGTTGTTATTTTTGAGATTTATATCACATAAAATTAATTGTGGACAATCTGATTTTTCATGAAATCAAGAACGAACAATTGGTGTAAAATAATTGTTAGTTAGGTATGTAAATTGTACAATAACCTAAAAATAAAGTAAGGAAGTTTTGGACTGTTGCAGGTAGATTAAGATAATTGTATAATATGAACATGATAAATCAAATAAATGGATCACACAGTCCTAACAAGATGTGTATTTGTCAAGCAAATGAAGATGGTATTTATTTTCTTACTATTATTCAATTATGAATTCATTAAAATAAAATATTCTTTGACATGCAAGAAATTATGTCAAAACATAAAGATTTTCAGATTTCAGAATTGTATATGTATGTATATACATAGTATTGAATATAAGAAATTTTTAATACTTTCAGATTGTATTGTTATCAAACTACGAATAGCAAATAATGCGGACACAGATTTTGTGGAATGTGAACTTTCTAAAAGCAATTTAACTTACTCTCATTTACTCAACATCGTTTGTAGTGAATTTGATATAATTCCTGCACAAATTTCAAGATTAAGAAAATTACCTAATACTCGACTTAGAAATGATAAGGATATTAAAAGGTTACAGGACTTTGAAGAAATAGAAATAGTTTTAAATGCACCAGTGACATCCAAGTCTTTGAATACATCAAATGCATACCCTTCAATAACTAGTAAAGATCAGACTGTTTTGTATTAAATGGTAAGATGTTTTAACAATAAAATTTGTTTAAGTTGGGTTGGTGCCTTCCTTTCTTGGAGAATATGAATTTCATCACTTTGAGTTATTTACTGATCTTCAAATCTATCTGTGTATTCATGCACAATTTTTTTGTTATATTTCTATCCTCTTATACATATGCATTGTGTGATTTATCTGTCTGCATGAAATGAACTCAATCTGAAATTTTCACTTAAAAACTGTTGGTTCTTGTATATGTAATTACTTTTAACTGAATATATTACACATTAAAAATCTATTTGTGGTGTTCAAAGAATTTGAAATATTTTGTGAAACATAATTGGTAATTATCTAAAGATTTATTTTTTATATATTTTATTACTCTGTAAATCCGTGAATACGAAACCTGTATACACATGTATAGTCTGGATTGCCATGGTTACTCTTAATAGTTAGCTGCAAGAATATGTTGTGATTTATTTAAACATATAACATATTTTTACTTCAATATTTTCATTAATACTTGCCACTACTTTTTTATACAAGTATTCAGGTTCAACATGTATTAATTTGTTTGTTTGAATATTTGAACCAGTTTTATCATAAAAGTAAGATCCGAGCCAAATACTTTTGTTGAATCTGATTCCCTATAACATTAATTATGTCAAATTTAGCAATGATTTAATCATTAGATTTATTAATGTGTTTTTAATAATTCTTACATGTACTTCGTGTTCATAAGGAGCGCTATTTCTATCTGATACAATATGTTCCATTGTAACGTGGGATAATTTTGCTGGATTTTGCAAAGTGATTATAGCTTGTCCCTTGCTTCTATGAATAAAAAAACAATACTATGTAAATTCATTAGATACAATAATTTGTTAATAAACTGGGTAATAAAGTATTCTATGACAAAATTATTTATAACTAATTCGGAGTAACAATGGTAAATAATAAGTTATTTAACTCATTATTAGGAATGTTATTTACATATGTTGTAATTATACCATGTCTCTTAAAGGGTTGAATATATTTATTTGAAATGTATTTAAAATATAATTTTATTTATACTGCATGCCTGCAATCGACAGCATATTTTGCTTAAATTTAAATTAAAAAAAAAATTGAAATAATTTACCCTTTAAATGCCCAGCAATCTCCAGGATTTTTCCATGGTGTTAGCAGTGAGTCTATCTGGCTTGCTCTAAATTAAAAATATGAATTTATTAATAAATAACATGAATTCTGATAATATTTAAATCTACAACGATATTATTTTTAGTGTATAGTTGCCAAAGACAAGATTTAAATATATTTTAGAATCTAAAATATTAAAATACAAACTTATCAAATGAAATAGGAATTCCAATGAAGTATTTAATAAACCAGTATCCTTCATACGATTTCGTATTGTTATCTGTTTCAGCTTTCCAAGCTAGGCCTAGAAGAGTATATTAAATGAGGAAAAGAAAGAATGATTTTTATTTAATGTTAAACGATTAAATTTCTATAAATTTACAAGTGAATATATATCTCATAATAATTATGGGTATTATAGAAATGATCTTCAAGGTTTTCATAATAAAATATATTTCAAATTTTAATATTATGTCCACTCACTTTTCTTGTTTCCTAGATTAGTATGTCTGTGTAAGCCCTCGTCAAGATTATCCATTTGCGCATTTTCAACAAAATTAGTGTTTTGGTTGAAATTATACGTGGCGAATGCAGCGACTATTTAAGAAACCATTTCCAAGTGCTTATTAAAATTATTTTATCTCAAGTGAATACTCACATGCAATTAAACCGGTAAAATAATACCAATATTTATTGACCGGTGCGTGTTGGGCTAAAGTTTTTGCTTTGTTCGTTTTTTTTCGCTTATTTGTTTCTGAATCACCATTTATGAAAACATTTATTATTAATTATATCTAATAAGCAATTGTGATGAATTATTTACCTTTAATAATATCATTAGCATCTTCAATGGCTACTTTCTTATTTATTAAATATATGTTTGTTTCTGTGTAATTAAATTCCTTCTGTGTATTGTTTTCATCAAGCTTCTTTAGAAAGTCTCTATAGCTTGTAATTTCTTAAATATTCAAATAATATTTCAAATGATTAAAATGCCATAACCTTTAATTTTCTACAATGATACTTATAATTTTATAGTACAATAGAAAAAAAAAATTTACCATAAGTAAAATAAAATGGACGTCCCATATTCATAAATTATTATGGTTTATTTTTATAAATTAGTATTTTTATGATAAACTTTTACAGCAATTATAAAATATTTTGTAATTATTATAATATAAAAAAGGAATGATTATTGTTCTAGAATTTTGTTATTAACTGAAGTTGGTTAAATACTGGAAATTATCATTAGTACCATCTGTTCTAACTAAATTACCAATTTTCTATTCAGTTTTTTTTCTTGAATATTTGTAGCATTAGAGTACATTACGCCATCAAATCCGGTCACAAAATTCTATGCGTATTTACGTTTTGCGTTTCCGTTCCATTAATTCAGGACGATTTCCAAATGCTTCAAACAATTGTTTATAGTTTATCAATAACAATTTTATGAATGAATCGTATACGCCTACGCTTGTTGCTGCTGTGTTAGCAAATTTCTAATTATAAATTTACGCTCGCTGGAGTAAAAATGCATAGTAACTTTTGAATATTCATTCATAACACTGCTAAAAAAATAATTTTAGTAAAATTAAATTTGTAAAAATGTATCAAAGAGTTTTAGGAGTTTTATTTATTGGTGTTTTGTCGTGCATTACTGCAGATCAAAGTAATATTCCCATTGCGGATTCTACTCATCTGCCAGAACATAACGATGTTCATTATCCGGTTATAGGTGAACAATATCCGCATCCGGTAACTGCATTTGGACAAGTTCCACATCCTCCGCCACCACCTCCACAATTCTTCTTTCAACAACATCCTCCAGAACACCATCCTCTGGATATCAATCATGATATCCACACAAACCTGATAGACCATGGCGATTCGGTTTCAGAGAAAAAGCACCGAGAAGAAGAACGTCGATTGTTCGAGGAAGTTATGCAAAATAAATTTGAAATGAACAGTTTGCATAGCGAATTAGCCGAAATGCATCATGAGTTGGAAGCATTTGCTCAAGGAAAAGCATTTCCTGATAATATTAATCCTGAAGTCCCAGTAATAGACAACGGAGGAGAATCTATAATTAAAACAAAGTTGGAAGGACCACCTGTTAAAAAATTGAACGAACAGCAACCCAAGAAAGATGTAGGAAAGACACCAATCAAAAAGTTATTAGAAGATGGCAAGGAGTCGCTTTTATCCCCCTTTCTAAATTCTTTAAGCGAAGTATTGGGTGGAAAGGGAGTTGGTCAACATTTAGTGGGCTTGGGCAGTCTGGTTCCGATTATTTTAGTTAAAATTGCTGCTAAATTTGCACTGATCACATTTTCTTCTAAAGGATTAAAGGCTTTAGCAACTCTTATACCGACAATAGCTTTACTACTGATCAACGGTATAGTTTTATTTCTTATTTGGTATCAAAATTTTAAGGCTCGTTTAGGTGAACATGAGTTTAGCGATTTATTCAGTAATTTATTTGGAAACGATGGTGCTTTGTAAGATTTTTGTATGAATTTGTATAAAATTATTAGATATAGTTAATTTATTTTATTTAAATTATTAAAAATTGGTATTTAATTATTATAATAAATATAATATAACTATCTTACATTTTGTTTTATTTTACTGAAACTTATTATGAATAATATGTGATATTATTTTAATATATTATTATTATTTTATCAAAATTATATCTTAATGTTTTACGAACGGGTTCGCTTTCAGGCTCTTTTCAATAAACCAAACTACTCATATCAGAGTCGAAGATCGGTGCTGCTTTTCTGAACCTTAGCTCTTGATTCGGATCAGGGGTGAGTTGAATCGTATGATCGGATGAGTCGCATGATTCGGGTCAGAATTCGGATGAATAGCGTGATTAGTTATTTTTTTTATTGATTAAAAAATATGTTTTCCTTTTTTTGAATGTCATGATTTGTTTAAATTTTGGCACATCATGTTGGGATTTGTGATTTTATGTATTAGTAAGCGTTTTGATATTACTATCATTTTATATAGTGATATTTTTTTGTTGATTCGAATCAGTATCAAGTAAAATCTGATTTGAATCAGGTTCGAATTGGCATATAGTTCATATATATATATATATATATATATATATATATATATATATCTGGGTCCTCAGCGCCCGCATGCAATTTTTTTTCTAGCGCCCCTCTCTTATTATTTTGACTGATTTAACAGTTTATTATTAAAATTGTAAGATTTACGTTATTTTTTTAAATACTTTCTAATAACTCTGGTTTTAGCACACAAAAAATTAGATATATAATATAAAAGCGCATTGATTTTAAAATTATTTAGAATATAGTGGTGATTCGCGGGTTCTTTATAATTACTACCAAACTACTTCTAAATTCTTATTTTTAATCCAAACTTTTTAGGACTTCCAAACATTTCTGTATGTTTATTATTACTTGAAATAATATTATTGAAAAATTTTGCTTATTTATTTTGGAGTTTGTATGCGATTTATTCTATTAAACTAATCATGGAAAGCAGAAAAATTCTAGCCTTTCATAATTAAACATAACACTGGTGCTTTATGTTGGATTATTTTATTTTGATTTTTCATTATTTAAAATATCCAAAATTGCATCTTAAATATTGCTCAAAAATTAGTGAAAAATGCAAAGAAATTATATGTTTTTTGAATTATATTGAAAAAAGAACTATATTGAAAATTTCATTTCAAAATCTCGTTTTGGCGCCCCCTAAGGCGTGCGCCCGCATTTTTTGCATGCATCGCATTCAAGGTAGGACCGGCCCTGTATATATATATACAGTTTTTAACGATTATTAAAATATTAGTAATTTATATTCAATAAGAACTCTTTCCAAAATAATGTATGGTTTAAAACTTATACGCTGTACCGGAAACACGAACTTTGCTTCCGCTGTTGGTATTACGTGACTATTTCCCTCATACTCAACGCGCATGTTCCGGTATATCGAACGGTTGTCCAGTTTCCTAAATTTTCACGCTGGATGTCTCTGATTGTCGAAGAAAAACACAACGCGCACACCCCGACGTGGGAGACGAAAACTCAGCTGGTCGCGTACGAAACGTCATTGGAAAAACTTGTGAAAAAAATCTGTGAAAAACCTTTGAACGCGGTCGCGACGGATTTTCGAACTAGCTTGAGCTTTTCGAAAGCTCGGCGTAAGTCGAATTGCGTGACGAGACTTTTGTGAACGTTAAATGGATTAATGCAAAGTTTAGGTGTGCAGTGCCAAAGTTTTTCCTGTTGATATATGTTTAAATTTTTATAGTGAACTATGTTGGGATTTTTTCTTTCTCTGGAATAGTTTCTAATTTGCTTGTGATTTTGGTGATGGTTTTTGGAAAGCAATAAGTGTTAAATAGGACGTGGAAGATATTAAGGTCGTGCATACTGTTTTGGTCGCCATTTTGTGTCGCGAATTACTGATATGTATTCGTGCCTGCCACGTAGAACTTTTACAATAATGACCAACGCAATTCTTCTCAATATGCTATAAATTTTCCTTAAAGCTTCTAAGAATTGTTTCATATTAATTCTAACGCGCGGGATTTTAGTTGGAATAGATCTCGAAGATCTTGCATTGATTTTCGCCAGTATCATTTGTTACCTATATTTTGATAATTATGAAGTAATTTCTAGGCCCAAAAATTTGTGTCGAATGTGGTCGTGTATTAAATGATTCGGGAGAATTTTTCATCTGAATTACTAATTGAGGTGTCACGACGCTAGCGTACGGGTCGATCGATACATCGTCCCGTGTGCCGAATTTGTGTTATTTTTGTACCTACAGTGCGTGTAAATTTTCTGCATGGGATTATCAGCAACTAAGAAGATTGATGGAAAGTATATGCAAGACTCGGTTTTCAGGACTTCCTGGAAATATGAGGGGAATGCTGATTTTCTCCTGCATAGATTGCGATAACAATTGAGGTAAACTTAAAAATATCTCATGATTATTATTATAAATACACATAATGTAATTACTTCAACTGCCATTTACAATAAACTCAATTCATCATTTCTCTCTGAAACAAGTTTCAAGCAGCATGTTGCCTTAAGGCAAATTATTTAAACTTTTCGTTAAGTGTAAATAATCAACAAGAATTAGAATTAGCTATTTAGATAAAATGTTCAACTGTTTATTTCGGAAACAACGACTTTGCTTTCATTAATAACTATTTTCAATCAATATCTTTTCAGCTAACTTATAATTTCTGTATTTGCATAAATAAATTTTAACACATTTCATTTTGTCATGTATTTTACCAATTGTGGATGTCAACTGTGATCAGTAGCTACCTACAAAAAATCACAGAACGTGCAAATGCTTCGGCATACATTCTGATTGGAATCTTTCAAGCACGCGGCAAAAATCTAAACTTGATGAATTTTTATAAGTCAATTGCTTATCATAGGCCTGAAAGTTTGAAGTTTAAGGCTTAATTATAGTTATACAAAGTTTCATCAAAATCTTAAACAATTATTTTTCAACAAAGACGAAAGGTCTCACATACATACATACAATACTTTCTCCAAACTTGGTTTCATTCAATTCAGAATGATTTGAAACTTCGAGAAAATATAAAATTAGCAAAACGTTTTTTTTTGCGAAAACCTAAACTTGTCTTTCGCGAAATTAATAAAACAAACGGTCACAGAAAACTATCTGAATACTAATTTATTATATTGGAAAACTATATCTTGAACTTTTTTCTCAATTACCTATATTTTTATTATTTGTTTGCATTTTTATTTATTTATATTTATTTTTATTATTTATAATTTTTTTTGATGGCTTTTAGTTTACACATAGTTATACAATGCTTACTTTACTATTTGACGTACATTTATTCATATTTTTGCCAAAATCAAGTCGTTATCATAACATATTATTATTACAAATCCTTCTTAGAAAACTTACGCGTGCTATCA